AAATTGTATTGGAAACTTACTCGTTTACAAAGTTGTCGAATTATTCGATTGCAGCAAGGCAATGAAACTGTTTGCTTTTGTTGTCTAATGAAAAAAATTTATGAAGAGTGTTTACAAAACTGCAAGGAAAAACAAGATTGATGATGAATTTAAGTTAAGAGAAAACTCTCTAATAATTTCATTATGATGAATTTTTGCTGTGCGACCATTTCCTAATGTGGCAGCAAACTATGGCTTAAGTCGTCTTTTTCATATGATAACACGATAACTTGAGAAATTTAAAATTATATCGTAACAGTAAAGGGTCAAATAAGTTGGGATGGTTTGGTTGTAACCATTACAAGGCCAAACTGTGTACAGTACAGGCGCACAATTTGGTGTCTGTAGGTCCGACTGCCTTTTAAGTTTTATGGAGCTGTATTAGTATAAAAAAATTAAATGTAACAAAAAATGAAAAAATTTTTTTCTAAAATTTGAGATTTTTTGTAAAAATCATCCCCCCACACGCCATATAAAGTACAAAAGGATAGATTTCGCTCCTTGTAACAAATCAATAATGGCATATAAGCTACTTTCAACCAATTTTGATGGATTTCTAAGACGGATTAAATCTCCGCTTACGCGTTACTAGCGCGAAATATATCGCGCGTTATTTGTCCCAAATTGGCCAAAATTGCTAATTTTAAACCCCCATTACTTTACAAAAACTGATCACAGGTGAAATATCTTTTCAAGTTTAAGCTCACAACAACAATACCTTTTGAATGATATTTAAAAAATCCGTTAAAAAATAGTTAAAAAGTCGAAATTTGTCTGAAGAAAAAAAACCCACCCCGAGCACAAATATCCGTTACTTTTGTTACGAAAGTCGGAACAATAAAATTTTGTTGGAACGATCAAACAAAACAAAAGAAGACAAAAAGATCAAAGCTGCTCATATCAGGGCAAATCCCTGAACGTTCCGACTGCCTTTTAAGGTTTATGGAGCAGTAATAACATAAATACCATTAACAAATTAATTGTTTTAGAAAAAAATTCTAAAATTTGTAATTTTTTCTCTGAAAGTTATCCCCCACACCCGATATAAACTGCAAAAAAAAGTTTTCGCTCCTTGTAACAAATCAGTTATAGCAAATAATTTTTTTCCGTGTCTGTACAAAACAGTCCCGTAGAAAACAGTCCAATACAAAACAGTCCAGAAAAGTATGAAAATGAACGAAAAAACAGTCCAATACAAAACAGCCCGAAATAAAGTCCAAATTAATAATTGTTTTAACAAGCCGGCAGGCCGAGAAATTTCTTTTGTTCAACAATCTTAATGAACAAAATAGTGACCGCCGCAGTCGCGCCAACGTGTTGCGAGCTTGCCAACAGAGGGTAGGACTTAATACAAAATTTAGAGCCGGTTATTGCCGCGAAGGAACGATTTCTAAGACGGATTAATGTTTATGGAGCAGTAAGAACTTGAAAAAAAATGTTTGTAATAATAAAAAAAAACATGAAAATCATCCACCCACACGCCATTCAAAGTACAAAGCGCGTTCTATGAAATATATTGCGAGTTAATGGTCCCAAATTGGCCAAAATGGCAGTGTTTAAACCCCTATAACTATACAAAAAGTGATCACAGTCTAAATATCGTTTCAAATTTAAAAAATAGGACAACAATTCAGGACAACAATAAAGGAAACAATACCTTTTGATTAACATGAAAAAAATCCAACAAAAATGGCTAGTTAAAAAGCCGAAGATTGTCCGAAGAAAATAAAACCACCCCGAGCACTAATATTCCGTTACTTTTGTTACGAAAGTCGGAACAATAACGTGAACAAAAGTGTTCAAGAAATGTATGTTGGCAGACCGTAGTGGAGCAAATTTGTTTTAGTCCGACTTTCGATAAGAAATTATCGGAATAATTGTGCTCGGGGTGGGTTTTTTTTCTTCAGACAAATTTCGACTTTTTAACTAGCCATTTTTGACGGAGTTTTTTTATATCAAACAAAAGGTATTGCTGCCCTGAGCTCAAATTTGAAAAGATATTTCACCTGTGATTATTTTTTGTAAGGTTATGGGGGTTTAAGGACGGATTAACTCTCCGCTTAAATGTTAATAGCGCGAAATATATCGCGCGTTAAATGTCCCAAATTGGTCAAAAAATGACAATCTTTAAACACTCATAATTTTATGAAAAATAATCAAGGTGAAATATATTTTCAAATTTAAGCTGAGGAAAACAATAACTTTTGAATGATATGAAAAATGCCGTCAAAAATGATTAGGTAAAAAGTCGAAACTTATCTGAAGAAAAAAAACGCATCCCGAGCACAAATATTCTGTTACTTTCGTATCAAAAATCGGAACAATAAAGGACGCGTGTTTGTTGCGGAATCTGTTTACAATTTGCAAGATACACAGTTTGGCCTCGTAATGACTATAGAGAAAAAGTTATAATTACATCAAAACATCAATACAGCAATATATAAACTTGTGCAACTATATTCTTAGTTGTCCGGATGGATTTTCATGCATACGTGCTCGATGTTATCCGGATTTGTATACCCCGATATGCAGGGGCATGGGAAAGAGGACGATGAAGAGGTTGATAACATATTCTCCTTGTCAACCTGGAAAAACCTGCGTCAATGGCTTTTGTGTAGATAAAAAACTTGATTTTGGTCCAAGCAATGGCATTTGTCCCTATTAATATTAATACAAATATTAAAAATTGAAACTTCGAACATCCCGTACCGAACTTTTTGGCCATAATCATATCTGATCATTGTAAAATCATGCAAAATTCATGTCTGTAACAGATGTGCAGCATGTCTATATTCGGCATGCACATACCTGCATCAGACCTGCATCAGGTGTGCTAACTGAAGATATGCTCACACCTGCAGCATACACGATCATGCCTGAACTGAACATGCTCACACCTGCAGGATACATGATCATACCTGAACTAAACATGCTCACACCTGCAGGATACATGATCATACCTGAACTAAACATGCTCACACCTGCAGGATACATTATCATACCTGAACTAAACATGCTCACATCTGCAGGATACATGACCATGCCTGAACCGAATATGCTCAAATCGGTATCTTCAGTATTATAAGATAATTAAAGAAATGGTTAAATTGTAACAACATCATAAACTCAGCTTAAAAATGTGACACTTTACTTCAAAATTTTAGTTTTTTTTCAGAATTTTTCTGACATCGGTGAAGTTTTTTGTTGAAAATATACTGTAGTGGTTAGATGCATCTTTCTTTAATTGCCAGCAGGGAGTCGTTGGTAGCGGGGCGTGTGGATACTTTTCTCTGTTTCCTGTCAACATAAAACTAATTGTTAGTCAAAACTTCATCACTTTAAATAAATGCTTAACAAATAAAATTAGACAAAAATCATGCGTTAAAAAGTAGTCGCATATTTGTTGTTAATTTTTTCAATGAGATTAATAGTATCGACCATTCAAATCTTTTTAATTTATTCGCAATTATTGCGGCTACTGGTTCGCGAAAATTGAAAGATTATTGGCCAAAAAATTTTGTGACGAATTGCTTCAATTCAATGCTTTATAGTTCAAACCGGGGATTCTTAGTTTTTTCGACTATCCCTCCCGTTGACCCCCTGAAACTAACCTGACTTCCTCTTTTTTGGGATGTAGATGCGACATAATTTTCTTCATTTGAAGATATTTGACTCGAGGAGGTAAATTTGGATAAGCTCATTTCAAACAAAATCTGAAAAAGTGAATTTTTAACAACAAAGACCAATTAGTCAAGATACGAAGTAATGTATAAATAAATATGAGTTTGTCAAGTTTTCAGTCAGTCGTTATCATGTCTGCGACAGGCATGAACATGTTTCACTCAGGTCTGATCATGTAAAATCCAGGTACGACCACGTCTGTAGAAAAATACGCATGCTCACTTGTGAACAGCCCTGCATTATGGGGGAACAGTCCTGAGAATATTCTCTCCCCTGCCAAATGGATGATCAGCCGTGAAATGGCACAAAAAGTTCAGTACGGGATGACTTTTGAATAAGCTGCTGACTATAAATTGTGAAATTTCCATTTATATAAAATTTTTTGTTTTGTAAGGTGGCGACTTAAGTAGCCGAGCCAAAGGTCTTCTAAAATCTGTGTTTGATCGCTTTCTAAATTCTGTGGAGCAAACACAGAAACTCTGGGCTCGGCTAATTAAATCAGCATCTTTCAAAACAAAAATTTTTATGTAAACGAACTACATACAAACTTGTTTGGTCATTATACGCTAACTTGTGAAACCAGTTGCTCGCACATAAAATCTTTATTTAGCTCGTGAGGAGGAAACTTTAAAAACTTTTAAGCTCTTTTTCCAATTCTTATAAAGTTAATTCACAATTGATAATGATATATGATATGCTGAGTGAAATGGGGCAAAAATCTTGGCACCTGCTGAATTTATGATAACTGCTATGATTAGTCTATGTTATATAGAGTATTTACCTGTGAAGGAACATTGCAGCTGTAATAGATATTTTCTAGTGAAACCAGTTTAAAACTTGTAATTATAGCCAAATTTATTATTGATAAAACTATCTCTATAAAATATTTCTAAATAACTAATCATGATCCATAACTAATACTTCATAGTTTCAACAACAGAACAAAAAATATAATTTAGAAGGCAGTTCTTCTTCTTCAGAACAGCTCCTGACTCGCAAATAACAGCATAAACTAGATCTATTGAGACTAGGAGGTATAAGAGTAAGATTAAGATTGGTATTAGACTAAGAAGTTGCACGAATCTATCCGGCCGAAAATAAGATAAGCGTGACGAACAGACAGTGTATCTTATCTGAAATTACTCTATGAGTGAGCCTCCCCGGACTGAAACTCATCTGGTGCGACAAACAATCTCGAACAAGACCTCAACAAAATTAGACTCAGCAAATTCAATAGAAAAAAGATCAAAAATACATCACAAAGTGATCGATAGTATAAAAAACTTATTAAATATGTCTCTACATCTCAATAACTCTAATCAATTACTTCAAACGATACGGCAAACACCAGGTCAAAACCCGAACAACAGACCAATCCTTATATCAAGAAACGACGCAGACTGCAACGATTATTTCTCTATAAAATTCCCAATGCAGTAGATTTTCAGTCACTTACCTGAAAAAAAATTACTCGAGGCAGTAAGATTCATTCTCGAGCTAAATACCTCTCATTGATGTATAACCATATTATTTACCATAATAACGACTGTTAGAAAGATGCAAGTGTCGTTCATTTCATTGAATCTGCACTAAATTAAAAACTTTTGCAAAATTAAAATTTAACGATCAAAAAATACAAAAATTAGTTCGATAATTAAGTTAAAGTTAGTTTAAAGTTTATAAAAGGTTCCTTGTTTACCAAAGACTCATATTCTCATCCTCGCACCATTTTAGGCTTACTCAGCTTTTTTTGAGCAGAAGAACGAATAATCAGTCATATTGTTCTGAGAAGTTCGAACACGTAAATATACAATGGAAGCTTTAACAAAAATGCACTCGATACACGCAGTGTCGAATTTCCAGTCTCAAAATGCGAAAAAAACAGCCTCAATTCACAAAATTTTTTGCTCTTTTTTAAATGCAAGACGATTCACTGATTGGTTAACTTTTTCCTTTTTAGCCAATCAGCCTAATTTTCCGACTTTGTAACGAAAATAACGGAATATTTGTGCTCAGGGTGGTTTTTTTTCTTCATATGAACTTTGACTCTTCACCTGGCCATTTTTGACGGACTTTTTCAATTTCGTTCAATTTCGTTCAAAGAGTATTTTATACTGAGCTTAAATTTGAAAAGAAATTTCTTCTGTGATCATTTTTTGTAGAGCTATGGGGGTTTAAAGATTGCCATTTTGGTCAATGTAGGACAATTAATGCGTGATATATTTCGCGCTATTAACGCGTAAGCGGAGATTTAATCCGTCTTAGAAATTGTTCAAAATCGGTTGAAAGAAGCTTGTTTGCCATAATTCATTTGTTACAATGAGCGAAGTTTGTTCTTTTGTACTTTATATGGCGTGTGCGGTGATGATTTCATAAAAAATTCAATATTTAGAAATTTTTTTCATTTTATTATATTACATTTAATTTTTTAAGGTTATTACTGCTCCATAAAACCTAAAAGGCAGTCGGAACATTCAGGGCTTTGCCCTGATTTGAGCCTTCTTGTTGTTTTGGTCTTTATACAGCGGAGAAACGGCAAACAAAGAATTCAAAGAGTTGTTTGGTGCAACGTCAAAAATTGGCTAAATTTATTGAGTAATTTTGCCCTGATGACCAAAAAAAGCCAACGGCAGAACTTTTCGGGCGAGTATTTTAGAAGAAGACTGCTCCGATCCCTGCTCAAGATACTCATACATACACAAAATACTCATACTCGCTAAAGTTTTCGCAGTCATACCCAGTGGCGGAATTAAGGGGGGACGCCCTCCCCCTCATGGATTCGACCCCCTGCCGACCTAAAGGGTCCCCCCTTTGCACTGATTTGAGATATCCATTTTTGGCTGACTGACCTTAAAATTTTTTGGTCGAAATTTTCCTCAAAACCCTTTTTGGTCTTTTTGTGCCTAAAAAACCTTTTTTGGGTTTTTTTCAAAAATTTGTTAGTGGCGCAGAAATTTTTGTCAAATTAGGGTCTTTATTTTAGTTTCGGAGAGCTCAGAAAATTAATTTGGTCGACCTAAAAAAAGGTTGAAAAAATTTTCAAATTTTTTTCGAAAATCCGCCAACCCCCCCCCCCCCCCCCCCCCGAAAAATTCCTAGATCCGCGCCTGGTCATACCTATAAACTCATCGTCTTGCATGACAGAAACATCTTCCATATGTTTTATGTCCAAATCAGAGATATCCGCTTTCAAGTCAATATTGATTTAAGTAGGAATAATGACTAGATTATGTTCAAACCAAAATTATTAGTGCAAATTCCATATTCAATCATTCCAATTAGTGAAACAATCAGCCCAGTGAAAAAATCGTACTATAATCATGAAATAAAATTTTTCAATCAGACAAACTGGATGATAGCTAAACTGACAAAGTAGACAAATTAGACGATAAGACTTTCAGGAGGCGATAGCAACAGCTTCAAGATCAGTAATGCAGGTGATTCAGACAAACAGCAGTTGTTTCAGACATGTTTAGAGAATAAAACCTTTTGATAACAAACCATTGTATTATAATTTTTTTAAAATTCAAAATGCAATACAATTTGTTACTCTATGCTTAATATCGGCTAAACCAAATTAGTCGACTTTCTTTTTCTGCATAGTGGCAAGTATCCAGAGCAGGACAAGTTCTAAATGTTTTCATTTCTGTTTTCACACGTGATGGACTAAATTGATATGTTTTTGCTTTCAATGAAGTTTCCTTAGCAATCAACATTACTAAAACTTTCTACACACTGACAACTATTCAACTTCAAGCGAGGTCTTTTGAAACACGGAACTATTATAAGCCTACTCTACCGATCCTAAGGCGAAGACTGTGAAAAAGTAAAAAGTGGAAATCGATCCGGTTTTTCTGAATATTTGTGCAAAACGAATGCAAAATAGAGGCACTTAGCATAGTGGTAAGGCTTTCACTGTGAAATCGTCAGATCGTGAATTCGATCCCATGCCATGGCAAAGAAACTGTGTGAGGACGAGCTCTCACTTGAACGCGAGCTGCAGGTACACCACAGCCTGACCAAATTTGGCTGCAGTAGTGGTATAATTAGTAGCAAAAAGTTGGGACAGACAAAATTAATTAAAAAGAGCAACTGACCTTTTTCAGACAATTTTTGCATGCAAAAGCTAATTTTTCAGAAAAAAAACTATGTCTCAATGTCAGGTAAAAGTTCAAATTTGCCTGCAAGAAGAGTTCAAAATTGGCAGATTTCTCTTTTTAATTATTGTTTCAACTTTTGATTTGAAAGTATCGGAATATTTGTGCTCGGGGTGTGTTTTTTTTTCTTCAGACAAATTTCGACTTTTTAACTAGCCATTTTTGACGAACTTTTTTTTATACGTCATTCAAAAGGTATTGTTGTCCTGAGCTCAAATTTGAAAAGATATTTCTTCTGTGATTATTTTTGTAAAGTTTTGGGGGTTTAAATATTGCCATTTTGGGCAATTTGGGACAATTAACGCGCGATATATTTCGCGCTATTAACGCGTAAGCGGAGAGTTATTGCGTATTAGAAATTGTTACAAATTGGTTGAAAGAAGCGTATTTGCCATAATTGATTTGTTACAATGAGTGAACTCTATCCTTTTGTACTTTATATGGCGTGTGGGTGGATGTTTTTTATAAAAAATATTGAAATTTTAGAAAAAAAAAAGTTTCATTGTATTTTATTACATTAAATTTTTCAAGTTATTACTGCTCCATAAACCTTAAAAGGCAGTCGAAACATTCAGGGCTTCGCATTGATACGAGCAGTCTTGTTGTTTTGACTTTCGATACGAAAGTAACGGAACTTTTGTGCTCGGTGAAAATTTTTTCTTCAGTTAAGGTTCGACTTTTTAACTAGCCATTTTTGACGGAATTTTTTTTATATGTCATTCGAAAAGTATTGTTGTCCTGAGCTCAAATTTCACCTGTGATTATTTTTGTAAAGTAATGAGGTTTAAATATTGCCATTTTGGCCAATTTGGGACAATTAACGCGCGATATATTTCGCACTATTAACGCGTAAGCGGAGAATTAATCCGTCTTAAAATCGTTTCAAATTGGTTGAAAGAAGCCTAATTGCCATAATTGATTTGTTGCAAGGAGCAAAAGCTATCTTTTTCTACTTTATATGGCGTGTGGGGGATGATTTTCATTTAAAAAATTCAAATTTTAGAAAAATAAATTTTTCATTTTATTTTATTACATTTAATTTTTTAATGTTACTACTGCTCCACAAGACCTTAAAAGGCAGTGGGAACATTCAGGGCTTCTTCCTGATACGAGCAGTCTTGTTTCTGTTCGTCTGGACTTTTTGCAATTCTCTATACCAGGTGAAAATTATAGATCCACGCATAAAAAACAGCCTTGAGTCGCAAAAATAACACAGTCTAAAATGCGTATTCGATCCCATGCAACACCACTTGGAAATTCTAAAATCAATTCGAAGCAATACAATAATAGTGCTCCATGATAAAACCTAACTTAGCTACACTTATTAGTTTACATGACCTATAGGCTCTGAGGGGGAGTCGAAGTCGAAGAGATCTATTTGAAATGCAACCTGCAAAAAAACATGTACGCAAATGTTGATGCATAAAAAAAACTGAAACAATTGCTTATGATTCATATAAGGGCATGAGAAAAATTCATCACAAACGATTGAATCTTTTGTAAGAAAAAAGGGCAAAATTTGAATTTATTTCTAAGATTCATGAGTTCAGTTAATTTAAGACGTAAGACTCGTTTTTTTAATGAGAATAAAAGGAACAAAAATAGCAAAAAAAAATTTTAAACTAATTATACGATGTTTCAACAAAAGTTCATATCATACTAACTGAACCGTTACAGGTTGATACCAAGCTAAATTTCAAACATGCTAAACTCATTTTGACATACATACCAGTAGGATATCCATTTTTGGCTGACTGACCTTATAACTTTTCTAAAGGCGCCTTAGGTGCCAAGCTATATTAAATTTGAGGAGGGAGCGCGCACCGAAAAACTGCGATTTTTTGGTCGAAGTTTTCCAAACAATGCCTAAAAACGCCTTTTTTGGCCTTTTTTCAAAAATTCGCCTGTGGCGCAGAAAAATTCATCAAATTCAGGTCTTTATAGTGGTTTAGGAGAGCTCAGAAAATCATTTTGGTCGGCCCAAAAAAAGCCTTGAAAGTTTGCCCCCCCCCCCCCCCCCACCTCGAGAAATTCCTAGATCCGCGCCTGATACATAACTCATTATCAAAAAAATGCTCATTGGCAATTACGCCGACAAACACTAAGCAGACATACTATACTCCAATAAACTTTTTTCT